TTTTTAACTTAGGTATTTGTGATTGTGTGACAATAGTGCGGTTTGAGGGGGGTATTTTGAGCCAAACTTAGGGTTTGGGTGTAATGTAAAAGAGAGGTTTTTGATAGAAATGAAATAAATGAATATGGGGTTAGGAAATGAGATCATGTTGTGTCAAAATGGGTGATTTGGTATTTGGATTGATATTTTGAAAAGAGAGATTTTGCCCTAAATTGATTATCCTATCTGTTTTGTATAAATAGTTAAAATTGGTGTTACAAATATAGAATTGAGTGAGTATTGAGATAGATGATGGGATTGAGTATTTAATGCTTCACTATCTTGGAAATTTTGGACAAATTATTTGTCTTGTGATTGTATGTCTGCTTAGAAATATCTATATTGAGCTATCGGTAAAGGATAGCTTTGCTTGTTGTAGAAATTGTATGTGAATTAGGTGAATTTAAACTAGTTCATGGTTGATTATCATTGAAAATGATTATGTTGTGAATACATTGTATATGTATGATTATTTGGGAGTGGAAAGGGGATGTACTCTATTGTTTGGGAGGAGAAAGGGAATGGACTCCATTATAATTAAGTTAGCCGACGTGTCTTTGGTGAAAGTCCCAAAATTATACATGGGTGCCGATCCCGTGGACGAAATATCCATAAAATGGCAATTAGAAGTGTTTATGTGTTGGTTGTGAAATTGTTGAACCATTGAGCTGTAATCTCATTTGGGTTATTGAGAATTAATGAAATTGATTTATATATTTTGAAATGAATCAGAGGAAAATATAACGGATTATGGAATTGGGATTTTATGGCAATATAAAAGTATAAATGTTTTATTCCAGACATTGTATATGCATATGCACTTATACCTTTGTTAAATCTCATATATTGTGTTAGATTTTTCGTACTAGGCTGTGGCTCATCCTATTTGGAAAAAATATTTTCAGGTAATGATGGCATGCCTCTACTAAGGCAATAGCATTGGAGGGATCTTTGTGAAGCAAGAACTTTTTGTTTTGTTTCATTTTTTTGTATAGCCTAGGACTAAATTTGTACGAATTAGTCTCCTTTTGTTGTAACCAAGCCAAGACTTAGAAATGTGTAAGCCCGAAGGACATTTATTTATGTTAAACTCTTTTATATTATTAACTTAATGTAATGAAAGGATTGTTTACTCTGATATATGCTGTCATTCATATATGCTTTCAGGTTATGCTTATTATGTGTATTTTAAAGGCGTCACACTTTATATAAGATTCACTTTATATAAATGAAACAACTCTTTTTTTTTTCAAATGTGGGATTGTAAAATAAAAATTAATTGTAATCAAGCAATCTCAGTTCTTTAGTTTATTTTTAATCAAACAAATCTAACCAAAATATTTTGGTAAAACCGCTAAAATCACGGTTAAACCAGCAAATCATTCAAACAAAAAATAATTTAGATTAATCAGTTAGGTCAAAAGACTAACCAGCTTATACAAAAATTAATTGATTAGAACTTTTAAATTTTATTTTATTAAAATTTAAACAGTCACTAAATACGCAAAGCAATCTAATAATTAAATTTAAAATTGACACAATATAAATTTAAAATTATAATAATCTATCCCATGATTTATAAGTTTTAAATACAAAATTAAAATTATCATAATTATCTCATAATTTTTGTGTTAAGGAGCAGTAAGAGTGACGTTGAGATTGTCAATATATCTATATATTTCACAAAAGAATACTTTTAAGGAGAGTTATTATGAGAGTTTCAAAACCTCATGCAAAATTATTTTTAAAATCAAAACATTTATGTGGGATTGTAAAATAAAAGTTAAATGAAAGTTAACTAATGGAGTTTTTTTAATTGTATAAAATTAAGAACATCAAAAAAATTGGTATGACATATTGAACATAACGTTTCTCATTAAAAATCTCATTTTACTTATATATATAGGAGCTTAAGATTCACTTTATATACGTGAAACAATTCTTTTTTTTTTTCTTTTCCTGATGTGAGATTGTAAAATAAAAAGTAAATGGAAGTTAACCAATAGAAATTTTTTTAATTGTTTAAAATTAGGAAAATTTATTTGAAAGTCCTATTTTAGGAACTTTTGTAGCATTCGGTCTCACGTTTTAAATGGTTGATTGAGGAGTCTTCATTAGGTGTAGTGTGCGACCAGTAAGTCCTTTTTCAACGTGGATGGGTATTGGTTAGATAGATATACCATCACTGGTTAATTTCGGAAGTTTTTTTTTTTTTGGAATATGTGACAAGTATGGTGTGATACTCCAATGTGACAGGTATTAATGTGACACTTCAATGATGGGACATTCAAAAAGAAAATTAAAAACTCCTTAGTGTACTTTTCCCAAATGTGACAACGTAGTAGGTATGATGTGACACTTCAAAAAAAATAAAATCTCTTTAGTATACTTTTTTTAAATGTGATAATGTGGCGGATATGTTGTGACACTCTAAAAAAATTAAAAACTTTTTAATGTACTTTTCCTAAACGCGACATGTTAACGTGGCGGATCCAATTTGGTTGAATTATTTCGTGTCTTCACGTCACGCACCAAAAAATAATTAGTAAGAAATTCACGTCTCACACTGCGTATGTTAAAAACAACCAAATTTTAGAAAGCTATTGGTGCGCTTTCAAACAACGTAGCACACAAATACCCCACCACGTTTCCCATACACAACCACGCCACATGTTTTCCAACTGTACTAAAAATGGCAAAACACTCAACAAATAATTTAAGAGACTATTTAGTCACCAAAAAACATTTAGGATCTTATGAATTATAAGTCTACAAAACGGGATTTACTGGTCAATTTCCCTTAAAATTAAGAAAATTCAATAATTTTAAAATAAGGATTTAGAATTTCTAGAAGGCTTATTCATAAAAACTCTGTTTTCCTTATATAATATATAGATAGATAGATGTATTATCTACTATTAGTTATTATTTACATTTATATTATTTAAATATATAAATAACATATTTATGAATAATATATTTATTTTATTATTTAAATATATGTTAAATGAGTTAGTGAACGAGCCAAATTTTACTATATTTAAACTTATTTATTAATATTTTAACAAATTCGAAATCAAAAGTAATAAAATTTTAACAAATTGATTTAGAACAAACCATTACTGAATTCCAGTTTGAATAATTTGTTCCTTTGTAGCCTTACACACTCACATACTCTAACACATCTAATTTTGAACGGTGTGCCAATATTAAAATAAAATTTTGACGTATTACAATATAAAACTGTTATAATTTAATAATATTGTTGTAATTGTACAAATATCTTATTCTTTAAATTAATTCAAGTGTAAAGAGGAACAAAAAAGGAAGAAATTACAACTAAGAATATTTTTTTAAAAAATATTTACATTAATAATAAAATTTATAAATATTAATAATTAAATGTATAAATTTTCTCATTAATGTGTAAATATTTTATAAAAAATCTACTAATATATAATTTATTCAAAAAAAAAAATAAAAAAAATCCATTGAATACAACAAAATAAGATAATGTATTGAATTTTTTTATATTTTTTTATTTTTTTATATTTGGTGAATTTAAATAAAAAAAATCACAAAATATTATATTTCTTAAATATATCTAGATTATGTGTATCCAAAAAAAAAAAAAGAAGATTACTTAAAATATTAAAAAAATGAAAAAAAAAGTTCAATTTTTTGTGTGAGTTAAATCAAAGAAGATGATTGTCATTTCTCTTGAAATGAAATAAACAAAATATGTATATTATTTTATTATTTTATATGTATAAAGATTAAAGAACAAATATGTCATTTTAATCTAATAGAAAAGTAAGTATAATTTTTCAAATATTAAAAGACTTGTTTTAAACAAAATCTCACCAGGTGTCGTAATTTACCCTAGATGAAATGAATGGCTCCTCTTATTTCACACAGAGCTGTCACAGATTCACACGTAATAAATACTGATTCAAGAAAAATTAAAGTAATTTAATTAAATCAACACTCAATCAAGATACCATTAGCTTAGAGCATCCATTGAGCAGCTTTAATATCCACATTGTTAGTGGATTAAGACCTCAATACTAACTTACCTTGGCTCAGAATAAGGAAATTTATATTATTTTTGTACTTGATTTTTGAAGAGGGACTAATATTTTAGGACAATGAAAAATGGAATAAGGGACTAATATTTTGGGACGGAGGGAGTATATAATTTAAATAAAGATAAACGAGTCTGACAAGCCAAGCTTATTCGAGCTCGAGCTCAACTCATTTAGTAAACGAGTCGAGTCGAGTCGAGCCGAGCCAAGCCCTTAACGAGCCGAGCCGAGTTTGTTCATGAACAAATCAGTTCATTTGCAGCCCTAGGTACAAGTCCGGGCTTACGACTGACCGTCAATGATGGCCAGTCTTATCTTAATTAAATTTTCTCGCTTTCTTTCCTCATTTCTATAATAATAATAAGAGTAATATTATGTAAGGCCTATACCTATGTAATTATTAAATTTTTCACATAAGTGTAAAACTTACATATATGTAAATTTGTGTGTAACATTAATAATGTGAGAGGTTTGATAAAATTTTTAATAAGTTATTTGACTCCCTAACAATAATAATAATAATTAATTAATTAATGAAAGAGAGTGATAAGAAAGAAAAGAAAAAGATTAATGAAAGAGAGAGATAAGAAAGAAAAGAAAAAGATGAGATAGTACAGTACTATACGAATTGGGAGGGAAGAGTCGTGGGATTCTTTGTGGGGTCCGCAGGCGGCCGGAACTTTGAAGCCCCAAATCTTTAGTATTTTGGTCCCTTCCCTCCCCTTCCCTCCCTTCCCTTCCCTTCATAGAACACAGCTCTTCTCTATTCTCTTCTCTTCTCTTCTCAATAAGAAAAGGGTTTTGTTTTGTTGAAACAAGAAAAAGGTTTTAAAGTAAAAAAAAAAAAAAAAAAAAGTCACTCCCCTTCCCTCCCTTCCCTTCCCTTCATAGAACACAGCTCTTCTCTATTCTCTTCTCTTCTCAATAAGAAAAGGGTTTTGTTTTGTTGAAACAAGAAAAAGGTTTTAAAGTAAAAAAAAAAAAAAAAAAAGTCCGTAAAGAGACTTCCTTCCCCCCTTCTTGACCCATCTTCATCTTTACTGTTCCAATTCATTTCGTCAGATCTCATCTTGTTTTTGTTTTTAAATCTTGTGAATTCAATTCTATCTGGTTTCAGATCTCCCTAAGTCCTGATTTCGATCCATTTTTGGAGTCTGTATTAGATTACAAAACAAGATTTTGAGCAAATAAGGGCTTCCTGTTCCAGATGGGCTCTCCACAGACCCCTGAACCGAGGTAACTTTACTTTCTATCTTTTTTTGGGACATATTCATTTCTTTTTCGTTTTCAATTGATGATTAATTTTATTCAAGCTTGAATTTTTTTTTTTTTTGACGATAGTAAAGTTTGTATCTATGACTATGTATAACATTTATTTCTAATTTATTAATTTTTTCCATATTATTATATTATTATTAAAGTTGTTTTGTTACAATCCCATCCCATGTCTTACCATTTATTTAGAACAAGCTATATTTAGTTTTTCTTTATTTTATTTTATTTAAATCCTCTACTTGTGCGAATCTTGAGACTCTAGCTAGATAGATAGATAGATAGATAGATAGATTGAACATTTTAGAATTATGATGATAACAAGTTGTATTTATTTCCTCAAAAATATAGGTTTGTGGGTTGAGTAGTTGTAGTTTTGAGAGATGGAAGAGGTAGGTGCACAAGTCTCCCCTCCGATCTTTATCCATCAAACTCTTGGGGGGGATCGATTCCGTGAGGCAAATCCCATGGCAACCAAGCGTAGTCTACCATTTCATGCCCCTAATTTTCAGCAGCAGCAACCCGGGTTGACCTCCGGGTACAACTGGAACGCCAAGGACTGGGTTTGGGATAGTGTCAGCTTCATTGCCAAACCAATGGAATCTGATGTATTATCTCTTGCTACTGCAACACCGGTCCAGCCCCAGTCGCGACCCGGGCAACACAGAAAAAGTGACAGGGAAGGGAGTGGGCTTCCCACGTTATTGAAGAAGAACCCTGTCAATGAAGATGATGAAAGCCTTCGGTTGAAGCTTGGTGCCGGCTTGAATTCTTTTGAGGAGAGTGTGTCAAGGCCCAATAAGAGAGTCCGATCTGGATCTCCCGGCAGTGGTGGTGGTGGCAGTGGCAGTGGCAGCTATCCAATGTGTCAAGTTGATAACTGCAGGGAAGATCTGTCAAATGCTAAAGATTATCACCGGCGACATAAAGTGTGTGAGGTTCACAGCAAGTCAAGTAAAGCCTTAGTGGGAAAAGAGATGCAAAGGTTCTGCCAACAGTGCAGCAGGTTGGCCATCTAAGTTCTTCAACCTTTCTCTATTTACAGTTCTTTCACATTGTAGTTGATTGTTGGTTTGAGTTCTTGGAATCTTTGTTCCTTCTTCTAGTTTAAATTGCATTGTTATGTCTTTAAAATGACGCATGTTATTTTGCTTTACCCTATTTGAACCAGCATTAAATGCTTCATTTTGCTTTTTTTCAGGTTTCATCCTCTTACTGAGTTTGATGAGGGAAAGCGAAGTTGTAGGCGTAGACTCGCTGGACACAACCGTCGAAGGAGGAAAACTCAGACAGAGGATGTGTCCTCAAGCATGTTACTCCCTGCAAACCATGATACCTCAGGAAATGGAGATTTAGACATTGTTAATTTGCTAACAGTTTTGGCTCATGCACAAGGTAAAAGAGTTGGATAATCTCTCTCTGTCTCTCTCTCTCTCTCTCTCTCTCTCTCATACAATAAAATGTTTGTATTTTGTACCCAGGGAACAAAGAGGTCAAAAGCTCTAATGGCTCATCGCTACCTAACAAAGATCAACTCATTCAGATTCTTAGTAAGATAAATTCATTACCTTTGCCAGTGGAATTTGAAGCAAAGTTACCCCCTGTGTCAGGAAGTTCAAGTAGAATGACCATTCCTGAACAAGCTTCTTCAGATAATCAGAGCAGCAGATTGAATGGAAACACGACTTCTCCATCTACCAAGGACTTACTTACTGTTCTTTCTACTACCCTGGCAGAATCTAGTCCTGATGCCCTTGCAATTCTCTCTCAAAGAAGCAGCCAGGGCGCTGATGTGGATGAAACTAAACTTGCTTGTTTGGACCAAGCATTAAGTCTTAATATGCTAAAGGGAGCATCTCTCGAGTTTCCTTCAGTTGGAGGAGAGAGAAGTAGTACAAGTTCCCAGTCCCCTGTTGATTATTCAGATAGCCAAATCCAAGAAACTAGAGCACATTTACCTTTACAGCTCATTAGTTCCTCACCTGAAGATGATAGCCTCCCAAAACTGGCAAGTGCCAGAAAATACTTCTCTTCTACCAGCAGTAATCCCACAGATGAGACATCACCTTTATCTTCTCCACCTGTTGTGCAAAAACTGTTTCCAATGCAGACCACGAGGGAAACTGAGCCTGCGAGGATCACAACCAATGGAGAAGTTAATAAAAATGTTGAAACCAGTAATGCCCGTGGTTGTGTTACATCGCTTGAGCTTTTTGGACGGTCAAACATAAGTGCCAATAACGGTTCATTTAAAAGCTTTCCATACAAAGCAGGGTACACATCCTCATCTGGGTCTGATCAGTCACCTTCTAGTTCAAATTCTGATGCTCAGGTAGTTCAGTGCTTGTACCATCTGTGGACTGATTATGCTTGCTTTGGTTTTGATTTTTATGCTTCTGTGAGCTTTATTTTGTCTATCTGTCATGGGATTGAAATGAATGTATAATATGTTTCTAGGATCGCACTGGAAGGATTATTTTCAAACTATTTGGCAAGAATCCGAGCCAATTTCCAGAATCATTGCGAACAGAGGTGAGATTCTTGATTAGGTCTTAGTTTTTAGTGTTTCGTTGTGATTGATATAAACACCTAATATTGTTGTTGCCTCTCTTTTTAGATCTACAATTGGCTATCTCACAGCCCATCAGAAATGGAGAGTTATATTAGGCCTGGCTGTGTGGTTCTATCCATTTACTTATCAATGCCATCTTCTGCTTGGGGGCAAGTGAGTGAACTTCTGTAATATAGCTTAGTTTTCTTAGGTGGCTTTAACACTGACCATTTGCAAGGGGTGTCTGGTTCTTGCAGCTTGAAGAAAACCTTCTTCGGCATATCAATTCTTTAATTCGAGACTCTGATACTGACTTTTGGAGAGATGGAAGGTTTTTAGTTCATACAGGCAGGCGGTTAGCTTCTTATAAAGATGGTGAGTATCATATATTATGATTATGTCAATGGTGTTTATTGAAGGTTTCAGGCTGGTACTTTTTGCCTCAAGGTCTTCTGTAGTTTTTGAGGCACTACATTATACAATCCAGATAAATGATGAAGAAAATTCGGTTTTGCTCAAGTTTGTCATTTTTGAAGTAGAAATTTCTATTTATCTTTACTTTGTGTTTAGAACTTGCTTGATTGGTGTTATCAATCTTCAGGAGAGACTTGCCACTGCAAATCCTGGAAAGCATGGCGTTCCCCTGAGTTGATCTCAGTGTCCCCTCTGGCAATTGTTGGTGGGGAGGAGACCTCTCTTTTTTTGAGGGGGCGAAATCTGAATATTCCTGGCACCAAGTATGTGACTGTTCTTTTGCAAGCAGTGCTGTTCCATGTTCCTTTGCTCATTTCCGTCTGAACATAAGTTTGATTATTGTGCAGAATTCACTGCACGCATATGGGTGGTTACTTATCAAAAGAAGTTCCAGGATCATCCGGTAGGGAAACTTTATATGGCGAGATAAGCGTGGTCAATTTTAAAGTTCATGGGGTGGCTCCTGGTGTACTTGGTCGCTGTTTCATTGAGGTAACACTTTGAATGCAGTTGATCCCTTTGTTTATTATTGTAATGAATCTGGGAAATCATAACATCTGCTAATGATATGAACAGGTTGAGAATGGTTTTAAAGGCACCAGTTTTCCTGTAATTATAGCTGATGCTACCATATGTCAGGAATTGAGACTCCTTGAGTCTGAATTTAATGAAGGTGCAAAAGTATATGATACTATTTCAGAGGACCAAATTCATGATTTAGGGAAACCCCGGTCAAAGGAAGAAGTCCTGCACTTCTTAAATGAGCTAGGATGGCTATTCCAAAGGAAGAGAAACTCTTCAGCAATTGAAGTTCGTGATTATACACTTGCTCGGTTCAAATTTTTATTCATATTCTCAGTTGAAAGGGACTGTTGTGCCTTGGTCAAAACCCTCCTAGACATACTTTTTGAAAGATATTTGGAAAGGGTGGAGCCATCAAGAGAGTCTTTGGAGATGCTATCAGAGATTCACCTCTTGAATAGGGCAGTGAAAAGAAGGTGTAGGAACATGGTTGACTTACTCATTCATTATTCTGTACTCAGTGGTAATGATACTTCCAAGTACATTTTCCCTCCAAATCTTGTTGGACCTGGCGGTGTTACACCTCTACATCAAGCTGCTTGTACATCTAGTTCTGATGTTATGGTTGATGCTCTGACAAATGATCCTCAGGAGGTATTTTGTTTTACTCTGATACTCTTGAGTTCCTCACTAGGTTTAAATTGATTCCTTTAGCCTATCCCTGAATGTTTGCTAAATTTCATGGATGCTCCCAAGAAGAGGTATAATTACTCGAGGCTTCATGAAGCCTCAGTTTCCCCAAAAGTATGATATTTTGATGTTGTTGACCCCTTATATTTAAAAAAAAAGAAAAAGAAAAAATAGAAGTTATAGACGGAGAATGGGGTCAGCGAAGCCATATGACCTAACTTGGCTTTTGACTTGGAGGCATTATCTTTATTGTACCTTCTGTATATCACATGGTTTAAAGCAAATTTCCAACTTTGTGTTCTTAATAGATCATTGATTTTTTCTTCCATCTCTTATGTCTTCTAATGTAGATTGGGTTGTGCTGCTGGACCTCCCTTCTGGATGCAAATGGGTTGTCTCCATATGCATATGCCTTGACAAGGAATAATCACTCTTATAACAGGCTGGTAGCTCATAAGCTTGCTGACAGAAGAAATAGTCAAGTTTCTGTATCAATTGGAAATGAGATAGACCAACAAAGGCTGGGAGCGAGTTTGGACCACCGTCAAAGGTCCCAATTCAAGCAAGGGCCAAGTTCTTGTTCCAAGTGTGCAGTTGTGGCTTCAAGATACAGCAGGAGAATGCCTGGTTCCCGAGGCTTCATTCACCTACCATTCATGCATTCAATGCTTGCCATTGCTGCTGTCTGTGTATGTGTCTGCCTGTTTTTGCGAGGCCGCCCGGACGTTGGTTTGGTTGCACCTTTTGAGTGGGAGAGTTTGGGTTGTGGCTCAAGTTAGTTGGAAGGGGTGAAAATAACTAGATGTCTATTTTGGTGAAGCAGAATTAAGGAATTATTATTAATTTTCTGGGGAGCAAGAGATCAGTTGCCAGATGCCAGGAAGGTGGAGACCTTTGGTGTGGGGTGCTGGATATTTATTTCTTCCGTAACATGAGCTTTGGTATCTTTTTTGGGTTCGGCTGTCTTTCATCCGCTTGTTCTCGAGAACAGATTGGTTTTATTGGATATAGGAAACTTCCAGCCGTGAAAACCTTGTTAGGAGTGTAACATACGGGATGAAACAAGAGGGCATAGAAAAGACTAAAGCAATCATATTAAAGTGAAACATCGGAAGGCCCAGATTAAAGATAGCAGAAAAAGAGAGTAAGCAATCGCACTCCTTTTATAGTGTTCTTGTATTTTTTTTCTAGTTGATTTTGGTGTGGTCATTTTCCTTTCTTGATTTGTTTGATTTCCATGAATACTGTAGAGAGTAGAGAAATACTGACTTTGGACCAAAATCATCACTGTAAAATAGAAGTCAATCAGTAGGATCATTTAGGGGATTGTGATATTTTATGTAGTTGAATAGTGAAATATTTGTTCAAGTATATTTAAATTCACAGATACGAGTAATGAATCTTTCATATTTTGCGCCAAAGTGCTTAAATTTACTGAATATTTAAATGCATGTTAAGTTAAAAGCATCGAGATTGTTATGATTTTGATGTTTCTGAGACCAAGTTGTGGGTTGTTGTAAATGTGTATGATGAATGAGTTAATTTTGTTCTTTTGTAGTGTGCTTTTTTTTTTGCATGGGTCTCTTGATGTGAAGAAGTTGAACGAACGGAGCTAAAACACAATTAACTTTCAATAGATCTCACCCCTCACTAGTTTTCACATAGTTTAGTTTTTAACTCAATCATAGATTTGTTTTTTCTTTTTGTTTTTCTAATAGACAGGAAGAGGGGGAAGTCATTATTGTTTGTTAAGATGATATCTACTTTACAAGCTGTGGTGTAATTTTAATAAAAATGAACGGAGATCCTCTCTAGTTCATTCATAAGAAAAAAAAACAGAAGGCTTGCTCAAGTTCACAGCCAGAAACCTGACTATTTATAATATAAAAAAAATTCCCGTTTTTCATAGATAAATAGATATCAATTTAAAGTAATAAAATATCAGGGAAACAATAGATGAGTACAGAAAAAAATTACAAGAATTGTTATAAAAATTATACAATATACTTTACAAAAGTAGAAGATTTTTGCTTTTGTTTGGTTTTTATAGGACGAAAAGTGCAAGGTTAATAATACATTTAAAGTGAAGATATATATGTACGGGTGGGGATGGTTGTGTTGGAATTATTGATGTCAGCCATGAAGATGGTTCCGGCCCTTTCTTAAGAAAAGAAATCCAAACTTTATGTTATTTTATTTTATTAAATAATTATTTGCTTGAGGAGGTTAGTTCTTGTTTGGGAAAAGCTATTTCCAAGAAAAAGTTAAAAGATTACCTTGTCTTGGCTTCGAAAGTTAAAAATGTGCAGAGCGTTGTCCATTCTAAGAGGACCAGAGACAAGTCAAGTTCAAACCGAAATTATGTAGTGGTTTCAAATGCGCCACCCGAATAAGCCATCATTTGGAATGAATTCACTTGGGCAACATAGCTCTCTCTCTCTCTTCCCAATATACAACAAAGTCTTCGTTGATGAAATTTTTATACATATATATATATTTAAGAAAAGTTATTCTAGCAAGTAATATGAGACAAAAGTAAAAAAACAATCATACAATCAAATAAGAGCTCGCTTCAACAAAAGTGAACCACTCGTGTCACATATACTATGAGCAAACATACATTACAAACAGACATAAATAGTTGTGTATATATATAATCGTAAGCTGAATGGTTTTAGCATACAATTTGGCTCTTACCCCCCCAATATCCAGCTCCATAGGTGCTTTAATTCCTGCAGTAGCCAACAAACCTCTTCAGCTACAGAAAGTTATACAAATTATTAACCGAATCAGGACATTACATTATAATGTTCTGTTGTTCTGATTCAAATTCAAACACTCCAAACTTCATTTTAATGATGATCAGAGATTCACATACAATACAATATAAGCATGAGAGACGAAGAATATGTTATTATATACTAAGCATTTAGTTATTCATTCATTCATGTTGATTCATTCTAGGCTGCTCTTCTTCTAATACTAACGAACCTTCTTCCTCTCATAGCATCTTGAAGGATAGCTTGTCCCAAACCTTCCCCAATCCCTTGTACAAGCCCACCAATGAATTGCGTGATCACCATTGATGCAATACGAACTGCACTCGCCAGCTTGTTTGGCTTCACTGGGGCCTTAATCCCATTGGCTTGCAGCCCATTGATCATGTCCTTGGCACAAACTGCGTGGAGATGGTAATCACAAACAGTGCAACGAAACACCCAACCCGATCTCTTCCTCTTGCACTCACTGCAGACAAAACCAGCAGGGTCACCACCACCGGAAGTTGAGATTAGCTTCAAGGAGTGTGGATGGACTGAAAACTTCATTTCAGAAGAAAACATTGCACAGCAAGGATGCATCTGGAAACTACAGGCAGCGGCACTGCAGCAGAATGCAAAGCCTTTGGTCGGCTTGTTACAAATGTCACATTTTGCCCCTGAAAAAGTACTAACCTTCTTTTAAGTAAAAACTATTATTACAAAATACAAATTAAGAGTCATAAAGAAGCCAGAGCAAGAAGAAAAAAAAATAATGATTAATGATATTAATTTAATTTTTATATATATATATATATACCTTGTTTAGATTTGGGATTGAAGAGGAGTAGGTGTTGGGGGTGGAGGGGATGATTGTCGAGAGAGGGAGGAGACAAGGCACAGAATTCATGAAGCTGAAAATCACATTGTTGGCATGCAAACCTCTTGCCAGCACCATAGTCCTTGCAGCCAGAGCATGTGAAGAGGTTAGGGAGAGTAGTAGTAAGTCGGACTAGGGGATGTTGCTGGTGACTTGGATGATGAATTATTTGATCTTCGGGCCGTATAGTAGGAGGTTGAGGAGAGGTCGGGAATTCAAACGAATAGGACTTTTTGAAGACACGTAGTGCTGTGGGTGATTGATAAGGAGGTGGAGGAGAGGCTTGGAGTTCCATTGAATGATACTTCCTGAAGGATTTTGTGCTCATCCTAATTAGGTAGAAAGTAATTGCCTCCTCTCTCTCTCTCTCTCTCTCTCTCTCACTGTCTCTGTCTCTGTGTGTGTTAGAAGAGCTCTCTGAATTGGTGGGTGCATGTTGCAAATGGGGGAATATTATTTATGATGGTAAAGTTGTCACTGTTCGAAGGCCATGCAGAAAGAGCATGGGATGCCACTGCCAGTAACACAGACTCCCGAATAAATTGCATGTGCCTATCTTAGGCTTTACTATTTTTTTATTTTTTTTTATTTTAAAACCTTTAAATAAAAAAGGGACTACAAAATATTAAATACAACATTTGAAAAAGAAGAAGAAGAAGAAGGAAAAGGAAAAAAAAGAGAGGAAAAAAGTATCAAATATCTCATGTTGTGATATTAGGATCTTGAAGACACTGTTTTGGGCCTTTTGGAGGTAGGTAGGGTGTGTGGGTTTGGGCTTCTTTGACCAGCCATGTACTGTTGGTTATATATGTCTATGTTATTTGCTCATAAAGATCAAAAACCATCATCACTTGCTATTAGTTTCTTATATTATTATTATTATTTTAAAAATAAAAAAATCAAAGCTTGAGGACCAAGGGGAAATTATTTGTGCGATTAATGTGCTAAAAATGTCCAATTATTATACGGCTTTTGGTTGTTGTTGTGCCCTTGTACAAGCAAACAAGCGAGAATGGAATAAATTTATAGGGCCCAAGGGAAGAGTTAGATTCTTGATATTTTGAAAATAAAATAGGGAAGTGGGAACACAGTGAAGAAAGAAGCTACAAACAACCATTTAAGGTGCTGCAAAGTCAAGGTGTTTTTCCTTTTGCTTTGCTTTGAAAATGGGCAATTGCTTCTTGTAAATTAATGCCTGCCTGCTTGCTTTAAACAAAAAAGTACTTTTTAATATTCCACCACCTTTGGGATGGTTCTTATTCGAAAATTTTAAAAGTAGAAATGAAGAAATTTTTGCAACATCAAAATCACATTTTCTTGGGTTATAAGTTGCCCTGATTCATGTATAGACCGGGATTTGCATCCAAATTAACTATTGTAATCTCTCGTTTTCTCTGCCGTGAGTTGTAAAGCAATTAAAGATACAACAACATATACATTTGATGAATTTTCCTTTATCCAATCTCTTGACTTTTGGTCTCTGACAGTGATACCCATTTATTGCTTGTGTCCTTACAAGCGATTCCATTGTTCACAATTTCTTCCCATACCCCACTTACGTCAAGAAAAACAGAAAAAGACACTGAAAAAAGATAAAGGAAGATTGATATATTTGATTGATACATCTTAATACATATATAGCTAAAGATCTCCATGTGTCTACTCATAGAAAGTTGATCATAGCTTCTCATTTCTTTGTAAATTATATATGGTTTCAGGTTCATTTGGGGACTACATGTTTTCTCTAGCAACACATATATGCGTCTTTGACCTGGGGGAATACCATGGTTTACAAATAGAATATATATAAACAATAATAACAAATTGAGGATATATATATATATATATATAGAATAGAACCTAACCTCAGTAATATAGTGTTGGAAAAAAATGATTTTTGGGGACTTTAATTTAATATTAAAGTGTGGTGACTTTAATTAAATATTAAAGTAGGTCCTAACCATTTTTTGTGTTGGGTCCAAGTGAGCCAAAAATCATTGGGTTTTGAATAAGAAATTGTTTCATGATGTTAGATTTATGAATAGGATTTTAAAGAGTATTTAAATCTTTTTTCTTGACTAAAGGGTGTGAATCCTTTGAGTATCCATACTTTTCATTTTTGTGGAAAGGGACTATGGATGCTTGGTGTTTTAATGACTAGCCTTAAAGGCTGGAGGCTCTTCCTCTCTCCCTTATACATGTATAAATTGAGACCCTCCTGTCAAGTTTCAATATATAAATTTTTGCTTCCATTTTACAAGTCAGTTTGCTTGATAGTTCCTATTGTGAGAGAGTGCTGCCATTGTTTTGTTCGCTAAGCTAGATAGATAGTGCTTCTGCCGTAGCTGGTTTTGACCGTCGTATCCTGGGAGACAGACGCCGGGTTTCCTCAAGCACTCAACCCGTGAGGCGGCGAAATCTGTTTTAAGGAAACTGCTTCCGTGCATGTTTCGATTTTGTCTCTTTACCCTTTATTGTTTTTGTGTATTTCTGTTAAAATTTAGTTGTAATTATCAACATATATTCTTGATATATAATTTGTTTTCTTTATAAATCTATTTATTTAATTTCACAATTTTAAACAACATATAGGAGACGGGGATAAAAGAAGAAAGCATCTATTATCAAAGCAGGGAATGCTTTTGCTAAATCAAACAATGGTTTGACTGGCTGTATCAAAACGTAATTGTTTGCATTGACCAAAGAAGTAAGGAACACTTTCTATAGAGGATGTGTGTTGGGCAGACATTCTGCAATGTATTGAATACACTTTTTCGGTGTGTCTTGATTAAAATATGAAACTCACAATATCAAACATTTTACAGCTACTTCTCAGACAGTTTGACAACACTTATTAAACTCTCCGAACACAATCATATCTCTCTCTTTATAATAACAATGTTTTGCATTCACGTTGATACTCTAAAATCATGCTTGTGAACATCTAGGAACACGTTGCAAATACAAGGTCGCAAACCATAGCAAACTCTTAACATTGACATTTTCGTTGTCTTTAAATATCTCCAATTCTCATAAAGACCAATGATGTGTGTGTGTGTGTGTGTGTGTGTTTGTTGGGGCTTAAAAAATATCTCCAAAACCCATCCAATGTATTTTATGTTGTCTACATGCTGAGTCAAAAAACGGTTTTGTTAACAAATTTTTTCACACTTGACACAATTTTAGTTAAATTTACAAAAATCATAAAAGAAAATTTATGTGATTTTGCAGGAGATACTAATTTGCAAACAGATGCAAATTATATTTTGACTAAATTAGAATTATGTAATATTTGTCTTTTTGAAGATTATGTTCAAACTTTTAAAAAATATTATTATCTTATTGATCCACCAGCAAATCAACCCTGGTTAGATTAATTTTTTCATAAACTCCCTAATCCATGGGACGAGTTATGTATTAAAACATATCCTGATTTTCTCAAAAAAATGGGGAAGGAAGAATATGATAATCTTGGTTTTCACATTAATTATATTCTAAGGCTGATAGCAGATTGGTGTCTAGAAGTAAAGGCGAAAAAACAAATAAAAAATCAAATTTCTAACTCACCATATGGTCAATAATGTTATGATAAGATTTTAAAAGAAATTTGAAATATTGGTTGTAATACATTTCCTAAAAGAAAAGGATTTTCCAAAAAGCGTAGAAAACATAAATGGAAACCTTGGAAAAAGAACAAAACTTTTTCAAAAAAGAAAAAGTATATTCGAAAAAATAAACCAACAAGTATTTCAAAAAAGAAAACTTGTAAATGTTACATTAATAACGAAGAAGGTCACTATGCACCCGAATGTCCAAAACGGAGAAAAAATGCAAAGAAAATGATCAAAGTCCGTGAAGAACAAGATTTTGAAATAATATATGGAGAAAAAATTCCTGATGAAGAAGAAATCTTATATGAAATTTCTAGTGATGAAGAAAGTTCAGATGAAGAACTAATCTTCATGATGACTAATAATAGTCAAGCAATATCTCAAGAAACAGATAATATATCTCAAGAAGAATTGCAGGCAATTCGACTTGGAGATGTAATCGGGGAAGAAAAAACTTTTACCGACAAAAAATTAGCAAAATTTGAAAAAATGCAAGAAGTCGCTGTTCCAGAAATTTACAAACTTTCAAAATTTAACTTCTTTTCAGCAAGAGTGTTTGAACAATACAGTGGTAACACTCAAGCGAAATGGTCAGAAGAAGGAAATATTGATCTTCCTTTTTTTGATAAGAAAAAGGTTGCAAGATGGAAAAAGAAATATCCTGAAATTCAATATATTCATATTGGATTAATTCAAGTAACCATAACAGCCTTATTTCGCCAAGGGATAGATACTCCTATTTTGGCAGTAATTTTTGACAAAAGATTTTCCGACCCAATGAAAGCAATCATTGGAGGAATTCAGTCTAATTTGGCTAATGGAGTAATTTGGTTTAATGTTAGATCAAATTTCTTTATTTCCATAAATGATTCTAATCTTGAAGATACAGTCAGAATAAGAATTAAAACACAAGAATTGGGAATGAAATCAAATTCTTATGATTTGGCTATTCGTTGGAAAACAATTCACGAATTAACCAAATTTCCTGAAACAAAAACAAGATCAAACGATAATAAAATCGTTGAGATCTTTGAACCAAGACCATTTGACACGGTAATACAACCTCGTCTAATGAATTGGAGCGATTTAGAAGTCCCTCGACAATGGTTAATCCAAGACCTAGTGAGACAAGGAGAATCTTCTAAAACAAAAAAACCTGCACAATTACAAATGCAGGCATCAGGAAAAAATTTATACATTGAAAATACAGTTCCGTGGTGATTTAACTCCCATTATCAAAACTATTGATGAATCACATTAGATTTATAAAATTTTAGAAGAAAATTTTAGTGAACATCCATTAAAACTATGGCAACATAGTCCACGTTATTGTAGTTTAAAACTGAAAGACCCTAATGTTATCATTAGAGTAAGACCGATGATCTATACTAGACAAGATATAGATGAATTTGATATTCAACTCCAGGAACTTTTAGACAAAAAGTTAAATGATGAAACTAAAAGCCCTCACTCTAGTCCAGCTTTTATGGTAAGAAACCATGCTGAAATTAAAAGAGGAAAAGCCTGAATGGTAGTCAACTATAAATGGCTAAATAAAAATTTAGAATTTGATGGATATTTTATTCCACGAAAAGATGTTTTGATTAACTTAACCAAAGGATCAAAAATCTTTAGCAAATTTGATTGTAAAAGTGGATTTTGGCAAATTCAATTGACTGAAGAGTCAAAAAAATTGACAGCTTTCAGTACACCTAGAGGACATTACCACTGGAATGTTATGCCTTTTGGGTTAAATATTGCACCACAGGTATTTCAACGGTGGATGGATACAATTTTTAAAGATCTTAAAGATTGTTGTGTAATTTATATTGATGATATACTTATCTTCTCTAAAACCAAGGAGGAGCATAAGAAACATTTAAAATTACTTTGTGAAAGATTCCAAAAACATGGAATTATTTTGTCTCCAAAAAAGATTGAATTAGAAAAAGAATCAATTGAATTTTTGGAAATAATTTTAGACCAAAAAGGTTTAAAATTACAAGAACATATTTTGTCTAAAGTACGAGAATTTCCTAATACTCTTGAAAATATAACACAATTACAGAGTCTATTAGGCATTTTAAATTATTGACGAAATTTTATTAAAAATCTTTCAAAAATAGAAATTCCTTGGTTAACCAAATTAAGGAAAAATGTTATTTTTGAATGGACAGCAGAAGATGTTGTTTTAATTAAACAAATTAAAGAAAATGTTAAAACTTTACCAGATGTTTATCTTCCTAAAACAGGTGATAAATTAATTTTAGAAACAGATGCCTCAGAAGCATGCTGGGGATGTGTTCTTAAAGCAATACCAAGTAATTTATGGTATGATAAAGAGATACCTTTATCAGAAAATGGGGTTAGACCAAGAAAAAATCCAATACCCATAAAATTACAAAAAAAAAAGAGTTAATTTGTGAATATAATTCTGGAACATTTAAACCAAATGAACAGAAATATATTATTTTCGAAAAAGAATTACTTGCAATAAAATTGGCAATAAAGAGTTTTCATATTTATTTAGCCCCAGAAAATTTTATTGTACGCACTGATAATAAGGCAGTAAGAGATTTCTTGATCAATAAAAAACCTATTGAACAAGGAAGAAGATTAGCCTGGTATAATAAAATTTCTGAATATACTTTTGAAGTAGAACATCTTAAAGGTACTAACAATTTTCTTGTAGATTTTCTTAGCAGAAATTGTTTTAGAAAATTAAATTGCTAAACAAGTAAATTTAATTTTTGCAGAAGACCTCTAGACCAAGAGGAAACAATGGATAAGGGTAAACAACCCGCTCAAGGAGATTGGGTGACAATTGCTAGAAAAGCAAACTCCAAAGAAGAAAAAGTTTATGTTGCGTTTGCAGGAAAACAACCTGGAATTTACACAGAATGGAATGATTGCAAAACACAAGTTTGTGAATATTCAGGAGCGAGCTATAAAGCATATGATAGCATGACCAAAGCTAAAAAAGCTTTTTACAGTGCACCAGCTATGCCTGTTTATCAAAAGAATTTTTGTCCAATGAGAACTAACCCAGTTCCAACTAACATTCAGATATCTATACCAGATGAATCTGAAATAAAAGATTTTTTCAATCCTGGTATATCCGAGAAATTTATACAGAACTCAATGGAGTCTGGAAAACTCACATTGTAGACAACAAAGTGAAATTTCAAAAACACATGGGAGTTCTGGCCAACAAATTAGCTGAGCAAACAGCTAAATTAAAAGATTTGCAAAATCTTTGTTTCAATATTCTTAAACAAATGAATTGGAATGAAGATTTTAATTTTGAAAAAATAAACAATTTTCTTCAACTATCAGATCTCATATCAGATGAGTTTTCTGACCCAGTTTTTGAACAAATAAAAAGAATTTGTCTTTTTGAAAAAGCAAGAACTTTGCATCCAAAAGAAATTTTTATGTTAATGATTTTTGACTTATAAAAAGTTATAAGCTGTATTGTTAAACTAAACCTAACACATCAAAATAATTTAAATTAAGCTAAAAACTGAAATAAGCTAAAAATAAGTCCTACCAAAACAGAGCCTTATTTGATTATCCTTTGAGGCCCGTAACATTACTGAATTATTTGATGATTATGATCATTATTAGTGATTATGAGTAATTAATTATGGGAATTGCAGGAGAGTGGGACAAAAAAAAATTATAAAAAACAGAAGTACTTGGGAGCCCAAAGTTGAGAACCCATAACGTTTAAAATGATGTAAATTAATTATGTATTTTTGTTTTTTTTAATTTTTTTTTTTCTTTCTTGAGCTAATAACAAGTGACTAAAGGTGATAGAGATTGTGTTTTTTTTAAGTTATCCAATGATCATCAAAGCAATGCTCTCATGGGTAGTAAAAGGCTTCTGATGGAATAAATATTTTACTTTCTAGATCTCCAGCACTGTTGTTTGGCGGGAATAAGAATATTTTTTTCCAACCATACCAGATTTGGTATCTTAAAGAAACTGAAGATTTTGAATTTGAAGATGATTATTTAGATGAAGATCACCGGAGAGAGCGATTGGAAAATATCCAAAAACTTTCTTTAACAGAATATTGGATAGACAGTCTAATATCTGTTTCACAAGCAGCGTCCAACATCCATGGCTCAGCAAAATTGCCATTCATGGTTACAGATGGAAGAATATTATTTATAACCCATTTTCCCATAACATATCAAAGGTCTCCAACGCAAATTAATGAGGCTCTTGACATGTTAATAAATCTGAAAAAGAGAAATAATTTAGATCTTCCGTTGGAACTAGCCATGACCGCGGATGATGTAGAACATTTCCGGAATGATCAATACAGCCAAGATCCGGATTCCCCTCCATCAGAGACTGATGAAGAATATCACAATCTCATCAACAGGATGGAACCATAGTGGACCCCACTATCACATGCAGCTGTCTCCTGATCGACTCCAACCTTATCCAGGACACGTGAAGCAACCTGCATTATTTGGCGGAAAGTGATCAGCCACATCCTTTCAGCCGACGCTACACGACAAATCAGCTCAGCCAAAGCTTATCTACAACAGTCTATCTCTTTGAAAATCGGGGAGGATAGACAGTGTGTATCAGTGTATATAATTGTAAAAACTGTAGCAAAGAGCAAATAATTGTAGTCCTTTTGTATTTATTTTTGTCTCTTTGTATTTACTTTTAGATAGATTTTTCAAAAAGCCTACGACTAGGCTTGCCTAACTAGTTAGAAAAATTGGCAACTTTTAAGACAAAAAGTCTTATAAAGTTAGATATGTTAGATATAAGTTAGATATGCAATAAGTAATATTTTGTTTGTATTCTCTTCTTGCAAGTCTATATATTGGCCTTGATGCCAACATAATGGAGCATGTAAATTCCCTTCAACTTCTCTCCATCTTTTTGCTTTCTTCTTTGTCTCTAAGTTCTCTATCATAATTTTATAACTCCACCATAATTTCATAAGTAAAAAAGCTCCTTTCCGTTTTAGTTTTGTAATTGGTATCAGAGCTTGGTGAAGAGCTTTGAAAAACAAGATCAAACTATGTAAGTATTTCTATCTGTGTATAAATTTTTGATATATATATATAAGTTTGTATGGTGTGTTTTATGTTATAAAAAAAAAAAAAATTAAGTTAAAAATTCCGCCTAAGTTTTTTGTGTATCTTTTGTATTTTGTATCTTCATAATTATTTGTTTCATTTATAATTGTTGTAAAACCTATATGCTTAGTGTATGTCAAAGCCTATATACTCATTAAAATCTTTTGACTATTGGCCATAATTAAGTCTTTAAGATCATAAAAGAGAGGTTTTAGGCACCAGATAATACACTAGGAGGGTCTTAGGTACCAACAACAATCTAAAATGACAATTAATTCTGATGATATAATATGCTTTGGAAATACAAAAAATAATGTTAATAATAAATATGATCATAATCTGCATATTACTAAAGAATCTGCAAATATAAATAGTGTGTGTTCTAGTTTAAATAATATTACTGATATTATGTGTTCTTGGTTCTTTAAATTAGATAAAAATCAAAAAATAAATCAAAATTATCTAGAGACTAAAGTTGAGTCTATAGAATCTAAAATAGACAATTTGGGTTCTATAATAAATATTGATTTAAATAAATAAGCAAAAAACCAAATAAACAATTTGGTGACAAAATTAGAAACTATATCCTTCATAAACAATGATGGAATGAATAGTCCAGGAGATAGTGACATCCCTAGGCTATTTTATGGTACAGAAGATATTATGGTACTTCAAACCAATACCTATAATAAAACTGAATACGAAAATATTGTTGAAATATTGGATTATTGGAGAAAATTATATGAAGACCCAGACTTAGGTATTGATGAAAGAAATAGGCTACTGGATCAGATAAGAGAAACTTATCTAGAAAATGAAGCCCTTTTACAACACTTTAATTATGATATTAATATGTCAACTAATGATGATGACAGCCAATCATCCTCATCTGAAGAATCAATAGATCAAGATATTTCATCAAAAATAAATAAAGGGAAAAGAAAGGCAGAAGAGCCAATTGATCCCGAATTATTTGGCACATGGGGAGATGGAGAAAATTTTGACTTTATTCAAACAAATGAAGTTAAAAATGATATTAACATTGGAAGTACCTCGAATCCTATACCTGAGCCAGTAATATCTAGAAAAGATAATAATCATAAGTATCCAATAGCTCAAAATGGTACTTATTTAGACTTGTCTCATGTTCCTTTTAAGGATCAACCACAAGCAATAGATGATTGGGCACAATCCCTGTCCATCACCATTACCAATTATAAAAATAGTTGGTCAAAGGAAAAATTCCTTAATTATATTGCAGCAACTCTCCAGGGAGATGTGTTGCAATGGTTAAGACAATGGAAAAAATCTGAAATTGGGAAAAGTCAAAAAACGGCTTTGTTAACAAATTTTCTCACACTTGACACAATTTTAGCTGAATTTGCAAAAATCATAAAAGAAAATTTATGTGGTTTTGCAGGAGATACTAATTTGCAAGCAGATGCAAATTATAGTTGGCGTCCGTGTTACTCCGAAAAATAGTCAATGAACAAAGGATTATCAAATGAAGGGTAAGGTGTCGATAAACTAGGGGCATGTTTGATTGCTTGATGAAAGAGGGGATTGGATTGATTAATTATCCATGAGACCCATTTATTTCACATTTAATTTCACAATTTGAGGATTTGACGATATATTTGAGGATGGGTAGTGTGCCCAATAGGACGCTACATAATACCATAAATGGGATACATAACCTCGTGAATTTGTCTAAAAAATAGTCATATTCCCTTATGTTATCTGCAATCAAATGTGGGCAAAGTTATTGTGAAAGGATAAAAATTAATCCACGTGAGGTAGGCCCATCCAATGCCTACATGAAATAAAAATTAAAGTAATAAAATAATAACTTGCAATGTAAATGTCAACTTGTCAAGTTGCTCTAACATACATGCATCAGATTAGTATGGGGCCATACAAGTGGTTTATTTTTATTGGACCAAATTAGTGGCTTAAGTTCATTGGACAAAATGAGTGGCAATTTAGCCTATATAAAGCGATATAAATTGTAATCTTTAACGGCAGGTAGAGGTATGCTTAAATAATTCTGTTTACTTATTCAGTTTCATTTAGATATATATACTATCTAACTTGATGATCAGAGTACCCTCCAGCTAGCAACCGCCGGTTAGAGGTACTAACTGTTTATTCTTTTGCAGATTTGAAATGGTACGGCTAAATTCTTCGTTGATCTCTCGATTAATAGATGTGGGACAATTTCTGCCTCCACAATTATGATTACTTACAGCTAAATCCAATCTAATTCTATCTGTGGTTTCATCAGTGCGATGAGTTAATCAATTTTTTCGCTGTTGATATCAACAGTAGGAATTGCAACGCAGTATAGGAGAAGGGTTGGACACCACCTCTTTTTTTCAATTAATTCATCAGGGAGAATCCTAGACAACCTTTTTTTGTGTGTGTCCGTGTGTGTATATATGTATGTGGCCTAGACAAATATATGTACTACTTGACTGATGCTGCTGTTCATATATATATATAGTCTGTGGTGTTTTGAGAAATTGGTAAAAGGTTGGATTTTTAGTTTTTTTGACTTTTTTGATGTTTTTTTGGCAAAAAATTGGATTCTTTTGGATAAAAAAACTAATTTTTTGGCTAAAAAAATTGAAAAGCCAAAAAGTTGACTTTTTTAGCCTCTTCCCAAACTGCCCCAATGGATTGCTACACAACACATCACAACACAGTAACAGCCATTGCTTGCTGCCCAATGGGGGTGGGGTGGGTATATGGTGGTGCAATACCTAACCCCTCCAGGAAAATGTTTGGGACCTCTTTTGGGATGACTCTCACACCCATAAAGTAATCCTGACTCTCCATACATGTGTGAGGTTTACAATACGAGTGGTTCAAATTTGTGAAAGTATTATAGGGGAAGAGTCTCAATCATTACTCCCCCATTATTAAGCACAAGAGACTTGTATCTCCCTCCCTTCAAACCGAATAATCCTAGACATATATATATATATATATATATTTAAATATGCATGGGTGATGCTGTTTTAAATAATCTTTAGTATATTAAACCCATCACATTTGAC